AATCTTATCAAAACTGTGCTCTGATTAACACCTTCAGTGCCAACGTTCCTTTCGCTGACGTCTGTAGGCCAAGAACAATGGAATTCTTCAGAGACTATTTAGCATCACCGAAAAGCAGGTATAGCCACAGCAGTGTACAGAGGACAAAATGAAGACAAATTGCGTATTCCACAAAGGGGGACGTTATATGATTAACGTCGTTTGGCGCTCAAATGATAAGCAGCGAAAACATACTTTTTTTTTCATTAGTCCTCCATGCTTCTCTTAAATTTCTTATCGAGTATCTAAAATGTATTCTTGTTTAATTTAGGGCTGTCTGTTGCCTTCATTTCTTGAGAAACGGTCATATGTTACTGAGAATTAATGGAATTAGGCAAGGACATTGTATTGAATTGTTGTGTGTATCTTTTTGTTATAAAAACCAGTTACAGGAACCGGACCGTGTCAGCTACGAACATGTAACACCCAGGACAAGGTCAACGTAAAACGAAACACCGAAACGCCACCTATGGACACTCACAAGGTAACTTGCTCCATACGCGTTCTGGACACAGACAACGAATTTCTTTTCTCGCTGTGAAATATCCTTTTCAACTCGACACGGTACGATTTGTCCGACATGATATAAATATAAAAATTTATGGCGTAGTTCAGCACGGATATTATCTCGAACGAATTGAAGATGGGCATCAGCTTTCGGATGTAGTTCACCTGGCTTCTGCCGTAGCGACACAACGAGATATGGATGTAGAAGGAGGTGGCTGCCGCCGGGCACATGGTCACTATGTACGTGAAAGAGACGATGATGAGCATGACGGATGTTTTGTTCTTCCGCCGGTGCATGCGGGTGACCCACACGGCCGAGCTGAGGTGTTCGCTCTCGATCAGTTGTGGCAGCAGGCACATCTTATAGACGACCATTCCATTGAGAAGACAAGCCAAGGACATGGGCAAGAGGAAGAGCATACTAAACTTATAAAAATACAGGTCAAGTTTCAGGTAAATATCTAGGTATTCTTGTTTGGATACGCAGACGTTCTCTCGCTGTTCAATCATCACCAGACGAAAGACCTGTAATAAAGAAAATGTAAAAAAAAATGTAAGTAAATTAGTAAACAAATAAGATTAAAAATAAAATAAACTTAGTAACAGTATTTAGTTGGACACAAGGCCATGAATACAGAGCACCCAGTGAGAATCTTACTCAATACATAGTAGTTATAGGCATGTGGCCGGGTGGTTAGAACGTCCGCATTCAGACCATAAGACCCGGGTTCAAATCTCACCATGATCGATTTGTCAGGAAGGAGTCTTTCTGATGTTATCGGACTGGAGGGGTCAATCCCTTTGGAATGTGCCTGAAAACCATACCACAGGTTGATCCAAGCCTTGTGAAAGAGATTGGGTAGACGGAACTCTCAAAGCACAAAGTCACAAGTCGTGAGGGCTTGAGCGTACTGGCCTTGTTCAAATTGTTGTGAAAACACGCTCTTTCCCAGAAACTGTAACTAAGGTCTGCACAGCGCACTTGAAATATAAACCCTAAGTGGGTGTTGAATAAACACAAATGCGCCCTATTAGACGGTTATACTCGAATATAAGTGGACAGCTATACCTAGCCTATATAAGCCTTATATAACTTCATTGAGGACATCAAGCGTGGTTGTATTTAAAATAAGAAGCAATATTTTCTTCTTTTGACATTTACATTAAATAATACTCAAGAGTAACCCAGTTGAATGGTAATGGTAATATTAGCAGTTTCCTTATAAGGAAACATTCAGCATTGAATGCCAGAGCTGTTGAAATTTATAAAATCTTTCTTTTCGTTGAAATTTATAAAATTTTTCGCTAAAAAACAATTTTTCGGGAAAATAGATTTCTCCAGTCCAGTAGCTTTTATCGCTCTTTCAAGTAGTGATGGTGATTTCCTTCTTTAGCTTTTCTTTGGGTAGTGAACCGGATTCCTTTACAGATAACTGCCTTTGGTAGATAGCCTATGACAGTCGAAAGCGCATAAAAGACTTTGGAGAAATTACGTTTAGATTTTTTGCCCCGGAACAAGGAAAATGTTCCGAATTGTTGAAAAGTTAAATCCAAAAATTTAAAGACCTTTTTTTTGTGCGTTATCCTCACTTTCATATGCCAGTCTTCGGCATAAAGAAACAGAAACCAATTCAGAACGAAAAGCAAATTCATAACAATTATATATATACTAGCAGTTGAGCCCGGCGTTGCCCGGGGATGTAACAATAAGAGATAGGTCAAGTATCGACCATCATAAAGACTGAAAAATAAAATTGACAAAGATTATTGTTTAAGGTTGATGGATACGCATGTCTTAATTAGTTTTATGTTTTGTTTTGTTTTGTTTTTTTACGAATTGGTCAAAACCAAACTCAAACAAAAACATTGTTTTCAATCGTTATGAATCTACCGATTGAATAGAATTTTATTATAAATAATTGTCTTGTAAATGGAATTTTTAAAGCATTCTGAATGTAAAAATAAAGAAAAAAGTGTGCAAGACAATAAGAAACACTACCTGCTAAAAAAAGTGAAGTTTTGTTGAAATCGGTTGAAAAATGTAGGAAATCCGATCCCATATATAAACGAACACACACACACACACACACACACACACACACACACACACACACACACACACAACCTGGGTTTTATAAGTATAACTCGATATGGGTTGTCCACCTTTCATTCTCACGATCCCTATTAATCGTGTTTTCAAATTGATTTCGTGCAAAAACAATTGTGTTTTTCCAATTTTTGGCGCTGTCAGAACCACCGCAAGGTAATTTTACGTAGTCCTGTGATGTTTTGTTGAAATCGGTTGAAAAATGTAGGAAATCCGATCCAATATATAAACGTATAGACACACACATACACACAAACACACAACCTGGGTTTTATAATAAGTATGATATATACTTTATTATATTTATAGAAGAGTGCTCAATACCTAACCGTCCTGGGTAAGACGATAAACTACATCCGATAGCAAGGCCTTTGATCCGGAGGTTTTGAGGAGCGTGGAACCACCTCTTAATTGCTGGTGTTCCCAGGTCCACCCTGACCTGGGGTGGTAGCAGCTGTTAGGATCCCAGCTATGGGTGAATAGTTAACACCCAAAAGGATTCAAAACACTATGAAGGTGTAAAAATAGACATAAATACCAGCAATAGTTTTTTTGGAAAAATTATTACCAGCAATACATTATTAACAGCAGTACATTTTAGAAAAAATTACCAGCAATACATTTTATGAAAAAATATTACCAAAGATACATTTTTGGAAAAAATATTACCAGCAATAAAAATCTTGTCGGTATTAAATAACCCATTGAGGTTGATATGCCGTAAAACAAACCAAACCCAAACCCAAACCAAACCAAACCTCAATATCAGACATAAGGCGTTCATAGATATAGACACTGTGGACATAGTAATCAACACTGCATACTGTATGTACGTTTTACGTTTCAAGGTGAACTTCAGGCTAGGTCCTGGTCTGAAGATGGCACTGAAGCGTGAAACTGATAGTTGTCATGTAGTGTTGATTCCTACGTTCACATTGTTTATATTTCTAGCTTTTTTTTTTTCACGGATCGTACTAGTACTATACTCTACTCCTAACAAAAAATGCCGTACAGTGAAACTTGAACTTAGGGAATGCGTACAGATACTCTGATCCTAAGCAGAGATTCCAGTCTATTAAATAATCCATTCATTTTTTATGCGCACTATGCTAGTATATGATTAGGGTATCGTGATATGAAGTATTAGTTAAAAAGATAATTTAAAACTGTAATGGTTTTGATCTTTACTAGTTTCCCCACACTTTTCTTTTTAATCATTTCACGCAAGGCAACGTGATAATGACACAAAGATGGAAATGGTTTACTGGGAATGAAAGAGAATGGGAAGATTTTAGTGAGGAGAAAGGAAACAAGATTTAGGAAGATTGCAATTGATGCTGCATTTAAATGCTTAAAGATTGAAGGTAGCAAAGAAGCAAGACACCGGAAGATAGTTCCACAGATTAGAAGTGCGAGAAAAGAAACTATTAGAATAAAACGGTTACGTCTAGCTATTTCAACATTAAAACGATGAGACCTAATTAGCAAAATTCGCTTAAATTCGTGAAGTTGAGATTCCAAAGAGGCGAACTAATTATAACAATTACCATGGAAACATAGACGAGACAGAGAGCGGCCACGTGAAGACGGATGGAAAATGGACTGAAGTCGAGCTGCCAGGTCAGCAACTGTAACATTACAGGCCTTTGAATTTTATCAAGACTCTCTAGATATAGAGCAAGAACACCAGGCAGATATGGCAGCAATATTCAATGTACGGACGATGGGTAGATACAGTGAACCAACTTTTATTTTAGCAGCAGACCTACTGATTCAATACAATCACCCCACTTCATGTCAGGAGAAAACGTGTGAACAAGAAGGCGCAATGGGTTGCTCTTCTGGTGGTTAGAATCAGTTATGCTGATCGAGGGTCAAAACGGTTCTCTATGAACCAAAGAACAGCAGTTTATACATGTTCTTCTGCTAGACTATGCTATGCTTAGCTAATAGCTATAAGGAATTTTCTGCGTTAAAATGGATTATGTCCACTTCGCGTTGAAACATAACGTCGTGCCTGGTCAGTACTTAGATGTGTGTCTGATTGGCAATAACATGTGTTGTAAGCCTGGGTGTGCGGGTGGTGTAATGGAATTGTTAATCGGAGAGATGGGTTTCAATTCCCATTGGTTTTGTTATATTCACTTATGCATAAATACCCTTGGGGAATGTATAAATCCAACTTTTCTCCCCCCACCCCACCTATGAATTAGTAAAACTTGTATCACTGAAACCATTATTATCTCAAAAGAAAAAACATTGCGTACAAACTGTTTAAATTTCGGCATTAAATAAACCACAGAGGAGGATATACCACTAAACAAAAACAACCAGTCAACAATCTACGTTAAAAGGAAATTTTGTGAATATGCGTTCTGTTTCTGTAGATCTGTGCGCATGCGTTATTACTCGCGTATTTGTTTAAGACATGGCGGAAGCTACCAACCTGCGAAAGAGCAATCAGGATGAAGAGAATCAAAATGGAGTAGATAGCTGTCTTTGGCTGACACCATGATGATCTTTTCAGTGGGAAGTAAACGGCCACCACTCTTTCAAAAGACATGAGCACAATGAGCCAAGACGACATGAGAGTGGCTGTGTTGCTGACGAAATTGAAGGTGCTGCAGCCGATATCGGAGAAGGAGCGGTAAAGACTTGTGTTTCTCTCATTCACCAACAGGATGTCAATCTCAGACATCTGCAAAATAAAATAGCGAAGACAAATTCAGTTCTAAACACGTTCATAATTATTGTTATTACAGTTTTCTTTGAAATAATTCTTTCTAACTACCATATGTAAAAGTGTATAACTCGCACTATTTTTTTAAAATCAAATTTGGCTACTAAAAGCATCCTTTCGTCATTTGCGAAGGAGAAACTCGTTTAAGTCTATAAAACAAATATGCGTCTCGTTAGTTGACTGATTATGAAATAATTAGTTTTAGTAATAAAAGCTAGTAAAAACCTCGGAATTTCTACTGGTTTCTCTCTCTATTGTTAAAGGAAATAGACGTCATAAGAACTTATTTGAGCGGTTCCATAACACACGATACAATTTTCTGGTATATGGAATTGTTCCGAGGGGAGCGTTGTTGCGATCTGCAATAGTACCAAGAAAGTTGGTGAAATTTTTAGGCGATTTTCTGTCACACAATTTCCAGTAATTACCACCAGATATCTAATGTGAACATTGAAATACTACAACTGTTGCTACAAATAAAAATAATAATTGTTATTATTATATATGTATGTTTGTAGGTGTATATTTTGGAATATATATATATATATATATATATATATATATATATATATATATATATATATATATATATATGATAAAATATAGTTTTATGGTATGCAATATTTATGGGTTAAATATCTGTCTATATTTCTGAGATGAGGTATTATGATTACTTGCATTATTTACATTATTCGGACTGTTATCCTCATCTTCATTATCATATTCACAACGTTTCAGCCTCTATATCTCTGAGATGAGGTATTATGATTACTTCCATTATTTACATTATACTGACTGTTATCCGCATCTTCATTGTTATATTCACAACGTTTCGGCCGTTGTACGCTCCAGCCTTCTTCAGGTGATTGGAATTTCGAACCGAACCCTTTATTTCGTCCACGGAGTATATTGTTGAGAAGCATGGCACGTGGAACTAGAACAATCTACTCCGGTGGATGAAAAGAAAAAAAAAATAACATGGAAGGTGGAAAATTTTAGAAAAGGTAAAAGCATATAACAATTATACCCGCATTTGAAAACTATGCCAATATGAGAAATTAGCAATTATGACATGTCCTTCCGCGGGTGAATAGAAGCGGCGTCTATATACCTATCGGCACTCATTTTCCATTCCTGAATTGTAGTGCCAAACTACACTTTCCAAAAAATTTTGGGAATTGAGGGAGAAAAAACAGAACTCTCAGATTAACTGGAAAAATAGTAGGGTTTGCATGCACCCCTGGTAGCTTTAAAGGTAAATGCAATCTATTAATATCATCAAATTTGGGAACCAAAAGATTCTCTTAAACCAAAGAAACGGGCTAATTTTCAAATGCCGTCACCGCAGGGAATTTGAACTCACCTGAACTCCCATCGAACCAACAATAAGGTGTACATTCACCTGCGAATCTCTGCTCCTCACTGGTTCGGACCAAACTCAATCGAGCTATTATCACTTAACATGAAAATGAACTAATCAATGAACATTCACACTGCACATTTAACTTCTTCCTTTCTTTCTTTTATACTCTTACCAGTTTCCCATCTACTTCCGTCCATACACACATCCCTCCTCCATCACCAAGTCACCGATAATTCTTGACAACCATCAATAATTTCCCCACAAAAGTTTCCCCGTCACTTTGCTTCAGTTGTACTATAATTAATTCGATTTCCGTTTCACATCCTTGTGTTTATTTATTGAGTTATCCTGAAAATCCAGTATATGTGGGTTATGACAATAATAAACGATTAGATAACTTCTGGGCTAATTAAATAACATATAACAAAAAAATACAGATGATTAAAGAAGATCTTAAATTTGGATGCATATGCTGATATATGTGAGTGCTGGGGTATACATGTATGTATCTATAGGGGGGTTGTATGTATATAAGTATTAGGCTAGGTATGCGTGAGGAGATACACTCATATATAGGTCAGCCTGATACCTTATATATAATCATTATATACGATTCAGCATATCCATTCTTGGGTAATTAATTTTTTACTACCACCAGAAGACTTCCAAATACTTAAGATAAGGTACATAGGTTAATCCAAGAATTTAATAGGTAGAGTCTAAAGGGTCACTTCCAGCTAGCTTATGTATGTATGTATGTATGTATATATGTGTGTGCTTAAATGAAGATATCTAAGTGTGGGTTAGTGCAGTCAGCTATACGAATAGGTATTATTAACGTGGACAAACGCATCCGTTTTAGTTAATTTCCGTGAATTCCCGTCGAATTAAAGTTTGACAGTATGACTATTAGGATATAGGTCAGCCCATCAGTCTCCCCATCCCTCCTCCTATCCAGGTTCTCCTACCTCCATAATATGATTCCAGTAAAGATGCTTTCTTTTTCCCACCCCCTTACATCCCAATAGGTATCCAATTACACACCATCTCTCTTTCTTTCTCCAAATAAACAGTACACTACAAACTGATACCATAAACAGTTTGAAAAATCCTGTGAATTTTAAAATTAAAATTCGTAGGTGAAAATGGTCATTTATTAAAGGTATCTTAATTCCAATTGTAAAGAAAATTTGCTCTCTTTATTGAAAATAAACATGGGGCGCTCTTTTGTGAGTCAGTTTTAACATATTTCAAATTCTATGTTGTGTCAATACGACTCGCCTGGATTATACCAACGGAATATATATATATATATATATATATATATATATATATATAATGAACACGCAGCGGCAAGAGTCTCCTGATGTTTGCGTATAAGATTGAAACAGACTGTCAGTCGTTCCTAAGGTCAAAATAAAAAGCAGAATGAGCGTTTCAAGGCCGGTCGAATATCAACCCAAGATGTTGAAACGTCCAGGGCAATGAATCAGAAAATGTGAAAAATAATCAGTCGCTCATCCACGTGGACAGTTACTGAAGAATCCCTCAGTTTTCTCTCTCTCTCTCTCTCTCTCTCTCATCACTGGAACCAGATTTTGCTCATGTCAGGAAACTCTAGAACTTTCCGATACCACTTTGTGTATATATATATATATATATATATATATATATATATACAGAGTGAGAGAGAGAGAGAGAGAGAGAGAGAGAGAGAGAGAGAGAGAGAGAGAGGAGCCAACATTGCAGGACCGATGGCTTCTTAGACTGAAATTAACGGCCTTAAGTGTTCTCTCAATAAATTCAACAATCACATGTCCATAAAATGTATGTTGTCTGTGCTGGAGAGAGATGGGCTCCGCCAGGTCTACTTGCCCAAGAATAGTATTCTGGCTTTTAATATATTTAGAGGAGGCTGGTCATGTGCCTTACTGCGCAGCGACACTATGACCAAATTTAAGCAGCTTCGAGTCTGGTCAGTACCTAGACGTGTAACCACTTCGGGAATTTCAGAGCTTTCAGCTTGGACGAGCGGGTGGTGTAATGAATAATGGCTCGGAATTGTTAATCTGAGAGCCGAATTCTAATTCCAGTCGGATTCGTTATTTTTAAATACTCTTGGGAAAAGTATGAATTCAATTCTTCTCTTCCCCAGCTATGGGTTAATTAGTAACACTTGTATCAGTATATCATAATTATCTCACCGCCCCACAAAAAAAAGGAAGAATTCTTACAATATAAAAATTATTTTCTGGCTTTAAATAACTTGAAAAGGGTTGATAAGCCGTAAAAAACAAATCAATCAATCAATAGTTCTGCTTATATCAGTGGTTCTCAAACGTTGCGGCGCACCTCACAGGTATGGCGGAAGAAGATAGCCGGTGAGATGGAATGATTAAATGACAATCAAAAATTTAGAAATAGTTTCAAATAATCTATATGTCAAAAATAAATATGATTTCAAAATTTAAAATATTATGGATTTCTTGTAATTGCATGCATGAGTTCCAGCATAAATAGTTATAAATAATTATTGACCGATATTTCATTGTGATATTTTTGCATTATATCAAGTATGAAGAATATAGTAACTGGGGTCTGCAATTTGGAGGAGAGAGTTATCAATGATAATGTTCTGACTTTGAATCCGCGGTTATCTCCCCTTAACCCTCTCTCTGTTTTTTTTTTTATCACATATAATTTGGTGAAGCGCGAGAAAAATTTTATTCCGAAAATGCGGCCCAGAGAAAAAAATGTTTGGGAACCACGGTCAGTGGCATTTTTGTACAAAGTAAATACTTACTGATTATTACACTATAAACATTGATATACTTACACGTACGCGTTTAGGACTGTGTGTATGTGTTAAGACAAGAAACAGTATATAAATACTAAGGTCATCCAATGTCTAATGTCAGACAGTCTTTCTGAAACATAAATAGATCTATTAAATATCTACGAGTTAAATCTAAGTAAATCACAGAAGGAAAATAGGCAGAATGTCACCTACCTGGCGTTCAATCAGCGTGAAAGTGTCGAAAAAGGCTAGAGAAAAGAGATATTGGCGATAAGACTTGTTGCCACGACGTCGCGGTCGCATCAGATACATTGACAACAAATTTCCCACCACTCCGATGATCACGATAATAGGAGTTGCAATTTGCTTCAGCCAAAAGCTCCATATTGGCATCTGAGTTACTTCCCCTGGTTAAGACGAAAAGAAAACAAGAAAACAAGTGGATTGATAGAAAACATTGAGCGATTTTTAAATGTCTAGCTTTAAAAATACAATTATATTTAAATTGATTTGGAGAAATAAATACAATTTGTAAAAAGAATTGGCTCGGGAATTTTATGAAGAAATCTCCCAAGAATCGGACAACTCTGTTTTTTGGCAAGTATTTTTTAAGCAGACAATTAGAGAAGCCATTATTAAGAGATGAAAAAAAAATGGCAGTGGAATAGATGGAAGCGAATGGAGATTGACAGCGACCGAATTCTAAAGCTGTTTCTCTTATTAAAACTTAGCAATGAATTCTTCTGGAACTAATTTTTTTTTCTTTTTACCAACTTCAGAAAACCATCAATCTAGACATACGTTTCAGAAATGCAACACCAATTTAAAAAAAATACTTTAGCGAAAACGAAGATCAAACAAAATTTTCCCTTCACTTCTGTGATACTGAATCTCATACACGCATGCACTTAAATTCACATACACACAACTCTCCACATAACACTATCACTCCTTAAATTCGTACAGATAAAACAACAAGTACTGTTGCTTACTAAGTTTAGATTAGCTTGGCACAAGGGAATCAGTTCGAGAGTCCTAGCAATGAAGAAATTCACTACTAGGATGTTAAGGAATGACAACAGAAGGAAATAGAAGCAGTCAAAGAATGAATTACTTAACGCGAAGTGTACGGAGAGAAATTCTACAGAACATAAAGAGGAATCCAGCCAACAATGATAAAAACGAATAGCAGGAATACTTTTCGAAGAAAGATATAAAATCTAAAATCGAAACGCTCATAACAAAAAAAGAAAAACCAAGAATGGAACACATTCACCTGAGATCTCTTTCAAGACAACAGAAGAAAGAAACATACAATAGCTAAAAATATGGAAGAACCTGTAGTGTTAAAATCGGAAGTAAATTCGGAAATAGCAAAGATGAATAGAAACAAAAAAGCAGAATCAGATAGGATCGTAATAGAGATGTATCGGTTTTAGATTTCGGAATCGATATGGTTACCGAAATCTTAATTTAAATATATGACAGCGGTGAAATACTGGAATACCTCAGTTGTTCTATCTTCATAGTAATGTCAAAGAAGTCAAGTGCAAATGAATGCAAGCTCAATCGGGTAATGAGTTTAGTGGGCAACATTACTAAACTAAGGATTCTAACATAATTAGATCAGAAATACAGCGAGAACATGGTGAATTTATTCCAGTGTATTAAACACTAGAATAAGGAATGTTATCGTTAAGATCAGAATGTTATCAGAGTGAGAAATACAAATGCCGAAAAATCTATACCTGTTACACAAAAGCATTTAATAAAGTATAACTTAAATTCCTTTGTCCTCGGTATAACGATAAACTACATCCGGCAGCAAGACCGGGAGATTGGCGATTTTCAGGTGCATGGAAGCACCTATTAACTGCTGCTAACTCTTAAGTAATAAAGGAAAGTAAAAAGAACTAGCCATTATCTATTTACCTAGAACGGTTACCGAGAAAAGGTTACTGAATAAGGAATAAACAAAACGTAGCTTGGAAATGAAATGGTAATCTTTATAACATCAGCAAAATACAATACTCGCCAGCGGAGTGAAATAGGTAAACCACTGCTAGTGGTGCACTACTTAGCTAGCATATTATCCCCCCCCACACACACACTCACAATAGTGTTTAACGTTTGTCTGTTGCAAACGGTTTATGACTGTCGAACTCTCTGCTTCGGCAGAGAGGAACCCGGACGAACCTTTGCCACAGGGCAAAGTTTCGTCCGGGGAGGTAGACAGGCATTGAACCCGTCTAGGCGGGTTCAAAAGGGAATATTTTTGAACGAGCCTAAACGCTAAACCGGCCTTGTGCCACATACATCCCTCGTGGGGAGGGGGCGTTAAATATTAACGTATTAACGTATTATGAGGATTGGGACATACACATTAGTGTTCATAGGTAAGGGATCTATCAATCTGTAAGAAGACAGAATGCATGATTGTCAGCAAAAGAGGCAACCCAAGGTATAAACTACATATTGGGGATGTCAAAATCAAGCAGGTACAGATATTAATCTGTCTTTCTGTACCTGTTTGTAGCGTAGTAAGAGACAAAGACAAATATGACAAAAATCCGAAGGTAAATTCGAAGAGAGAAAAAGGGACAGGAACAAATTTGTTATAAATAAAGAAACGATGTTGAGTAGCTAATTTATTTGATAGTGAATACTGGACATTAACTTTACCGATTAAGAAGAAGCTGAAGCGACAGAGATCCATTCTACTGATGAAGAATATCATGGACAGAACATGTGAACAACAAGGAAGTTTTAAGGTATATAGAAACTACGAGGAAGCTTATACTTACAATCAGAAAGAGACGGTTGAGATTATCTGGGACATTATGAGGAAAGAAGGCTTCGAGAACCTAACACTCATAGGACATACTGAAGGCAAAAGAAGCATCGGAAAAGAAAGTGTAAACTACTTAGCGAGTTTGTGTGAATGGATGGTAGGACAAGGACAAAGAAGGAGGTAAAAAGTTATTTAGAGCAACAAAAACAGGAGGTTGTAGAGAGCCATGATTACTTAAATTTTGAACAGACATGGCCCATAAAAGAAGAATGAGAAATGAGGGGACAAGAAAATTTAACAACCGCAACATATACAGTTGGCAAGAGAATCGAGAGAAACAACGAGTAACGTAACGGGTTTGTGCGAATGGATGGCAGAACAAAGGACAAAGAGGGAGGTAGTTGGTCAAAAGTTACTTAGAGTAATAAAAGACAGGAAGCTGTGAAGGGAGATGACCGCCAACGCCTTGAAAAGTATCGCATATAAAGGAATACACGAGAAAGTGTACAAATGTTTCGGGTCGATCAACAGTTTGATGTTTGAAAATTTACTAAGATTTTGGGAAGGGGATTGCGATGTATGCTTTTATTGTTTTTTATTGTTAAATCGAAAAAAAAAAAAATGTTGGAATTGTATATTTTATATTCTATTGTAATATTTCATATTTGATTTACGTCTCCGAACTGTAAGATTGTCAACAAAAGTGGTTTAAAGAATGATTTCGAATACAAATTCTGCCAAATTAAGAATAATTTAATATCAGATAAATTTCTACTTATATCTTGACTATTCATACTTGAGATAAAATAGAACAAAATATTTGTTATTCTGATACTTTTGTAAAATTCATGTATTTTAATGTAAACCAGTCCTAAGATATACTGAATTGACATCGTTTTCTTCTATTTTTAAACATTTCAAAAAATGCAAGTGTATTGTATATTTTTCATATTTTATGATATAGAATGCATTATTGTTCCAACTGTTTGAATAAGTATATATTTTATGTTATATTTTATGCTAAAATATATATTACTGAGTCAATAAAAAATTGTTTGAAAAATTACATATTTTATATTATATGTTATGATAAAATATATTTGATTGAGTCAAGGATAAAATTGTTTGAATAATTATATATTTTATGATAAAATATATATTACTGAGTCAACGAAAAAATTGTTTGGATAATTATATATTTTATGTTATATTTTATGATAAAATATATTTTATTGAGACAAGGTAAAATTGTCTGAATAATTATATATTTTATGATAAAATATATATTATTGAGTCAACAATAAAATTGGTTGAATAATCATACTTTCTATATTATATTTATTGATAAAATATATATTATTATGTCAACAATAATAGTTTGAATAATTATATATTTTATGTTATATCTTGTGATAAAATACATATTACTGAGTCAACGATAAAATTGAATAATTATATAATTAATGTTATATTTAGTGATAAAATATATATTATTGAGTCAACAATAAAATTGGTTGAATAATTACAATATTCGTTTTTATTTCATGTTATATTTTATAATATAATTTAATGTTTTATCGACGATTTTTTTCATAATTCTAACATTTTAAATACCATTAATCTGTAAGATTACTCGGAATTAAACTGTAAGATTACTGGTGTTTAGGTCTGTAATATTTAGCAAGTTTGTCTAATTTTCCTAGTACTGAGTTTGATCCATATTGGGTGCGTGCTCCATATTTACTGCCGTGTGCCAAAATTAATGACATACATAACATCGGGAAGATAGTGTTGAAATTTTTAGGTTACATAATGAGAGAAGAAGGCTTGAAAATCTGATACTCACAGGGCAGGTTAAAGGCAAGATTGACAGAGGAAAATAACGCATAACCTAGCTAGCAACCTTGAGTAAATTTATTTAGCGCTACAAAGGACATGAAATTGTGGAGAGCCATTATCGCCAACGAAAAGACATTGCACATAGAAGAAGAAGGCTCCTGCAAGAGCGTAGACATAACTTTAGTTTTGACATTTTCAAATGCACTACACTAATAATTTAGATTCGGTTGCTAAGATATCCCGCGAGAAATTTCATTCTTCCTCGAGCGACGGACGAGAGATCGCGTGAGATATTTTTGTTTTGTTTCCTCGCAAATATATGATGTAATATCACATGAGAAATCTCTTTGTTCATGGAGAGACGAACCAGCTATCTTGTATGGAATTTCTTTGTCTTGTAGCACTTGAAAATTAGCTATTCCTAATATGATAATATAACCTTTAAATATTTACACTGTAATGAAAAACAGTGCAATCTAATTTTCCCATCTGACAACGGTCTCTAGTCTTACACATTTTCATTTTTTAAACAGTAATGTTTATACTCTCAGTTAAAATGTTAGACAGCGCCTACTAAACAACATATAGCTGGTGTCCATATAGACATTTTGTGTATTTCTTCTGGGAAAATTGGCGATATTTTTTGCAAATGTTAATTCTTATTCAGGTTGTTACGTTTTAG